GTGGGGGGCGGGGCGGGACGAAGACCCCACGCAAAGCATAAAACGCGCGCGTCGCTCGGCAGGTGGCGATGAAGCGGGGCGAGGCGGAGCAGCACATTTCGCGAGAGTCAAATGATGCGGAGAGGGAGAGAGGGTGAAGGGGAGGAAAGTGGAGGCGCCGCGGCGGCGCTCCGTTCTGAAAACGCTTCCCGCCGCTACGCCGCGCCACGCCGCCGCTTTGCGGTCGCGAGCGTTCTTTCTTTCTTCCTTCCTTTTCCTTTTCCTTTTTTACCCCGCTCCTCTTCGACACCGGGTCGGTATGCGTGACATTGGGGGGGAATGTCGCCTCCGCTATGAGCCGCCGCCGACTTCGTTGTTCCGGCGACGCGAGAGAACTCGAGAGACAAATCCGGACCTCCAACCCGTCATAGGGGCCATCTCAACCATTGCACTCATGCGCTCGAGCAAATCGAATTGCAACATTAGTTTGAATATAACGAACAAAATAATTGCTGTTGCATAATATGATAAAACGATGTTCACACAACGATATTGACATGGTGACACGTTTTTGACGCTTTAGAGTCCCAGTGCTCCGGCTGTCGGTCGCGACCAACGCCATGGTTCTGGTCGCTCCGCTTCGGTCCCGATCATCCACGGCTACTGCCGCCTGCCGCCCCGGCGGTGCCCGCGTCGGATTGGTGCAGCCCCAGGGCGGAGATGGCGGGGCGTAGCGGGGCGCCGCCGTCGCGTTGCTGTGAAATCGCCGGCGGAGCGTGGCGGGGCGTGGTGGCGCAGCATCAATGGTAACAGAAGCAAAGCGAAAGAGGAAGAGAAAAAAAGACAGAACCACCGCCACAGCGCCCACCACCAGCCATTCGCCCGAAACGCTTGTGTTTTCTCGGACCACAACAAAACATTTCAGCGCGGCGAGCGGCGAACGTCTAAATTTTTCATCATCGTGCATTCCCCTATACAATATAAAGCGGCACGACTGCTGCACACTCACACACACACATTCCGCCTCCCCCCGAGCGGCTCTTGTACTCGACAAATAGCCGGCCGCGTGGCGGGGCGTGGCGGGGCGGGGCGCAGCGCGGGGGTCGAGGTGGGGTTGCCCTCGCGACCGCCCGCATGCCCTCGCCCTCAGTCCTATTGATGCTGCTCTGTGTGCGTGTTGCCTGTTGCTGCTTCGACATGACACACACACACGCGCGCGCGCGCATGTCGAGCAGGCGGGCGGCGGGCCGCTCGACCAGGCCCCCCGTTGGAGTTTTCGGCCGCGAGTTGGTGTGCCACATGTCAGTGCGAAAATCGGAGACCGCCTGCCTGCCTGCCGTTTGCTTTCAGCAGAGGAGGCGGCCGCCGCGGCTCTGGAGAATGCGCTAAGGGGTACGCCACGGCTCCAGTAGTAGTAGTCGGCCTGCCCCCTATGCGGCTGGTCATTCCCTAACGACAATTTTCCCAAACGAGTGAAATAACGCTCTGTGCTCAAATTCCTGGCGCGCCGCGGCCTGACCGGCCAGAGCGAGAGAAGGGCTTTCTATTAATTGATATGGGGCGGCTATCGCCGTCGTGCGCGAGAGAGACGGATAACGATTATGTCCTCGTGGAAGCCGCGGGCCACCGGGGAGTGAGAGAGAGAGAGAGAGAGAGAGAGAGAGAGAGAGAGAGAGAGAGAGGCGAATGGGCTAATTAATTGGTCGAGTCAATGAGGAATGCAAGCTACCCTTGCAAGGCAGCGGTGTCGAGCCCTTCCATACTATGTACTCGCGAATGCCGATAGATCTATGCAGCTTTTGTTGCTCTGTTTGTCGAGTGCAGCATGCACCACCACTGGTACGCGGCGGCGGGGGGCCGCAGCGGTTGGCCCTCGCGTCGCAATTAGACGTCATGAGGGTCATGTTACACCCCCCAGCGTGGTCACCAGAGGGACACCCCACCCGCCGCCTTCCCGCCACACGACTCGCTTGCGTGTCACGCGGCGCCACGCCTTGATTTAAAATACGGAAAATAAATAAAAACACGACGAAAGATGGAGTATATACATTATCGACAGGCCCCGGCGGCCCAGAGCAGCCATAGACAGCTTCGGCACCGAAAGAAAAAATGAGCGGCGACATAAGAAGCGGAACGGGGACCGGAGAGAATGCAAGGAGTTGCATTGGCCAGCGTCCCCGTCCGGCGGGGGCAGTGACTTGCAATCAGCTTACTTACAGCACTTCTCTCGCCCTCTAGTCGCACCATCATCATTTTTTTCTCCTCCTCTCCCCATCGATCGGCTCAATACGTCGGGCGCCGATGCAATATGGCCGGCGAGTCGCGAGTGATTTCTGTCTGTGTTTTCTCCTACAGACACCCAACGAAATGCTAAGGAGAAGGCGAAATTTTGCAGCATATATCTCTGAAAACCACACTTTTTGTTGACCAACGATAAATTCCGGCCGTTTTTGCACACATCACAGCAGCAATTCCAGTGGTTGTGATTACTTTGTGATGAATGCGATTAGTCCAGGCCATCGGGTCTGCGTGCAAACAAAATTTGATCCCGTTTCGGAGTCAATATACATTTTAAT